TGGGTTTAAGGTGGTAATGCTGGGTTTAAGGTGGTAAAGTTGGGTTTAATGTTTGGGTCATTCATTGCAGCTACATGATGTAAAAAACACGTCAAATGCATACATGTGTTGTGATAACACGTAAGCGTGTTATTCATGTTACCAGGCTGCGTTGTGACACTTCGTCCATCACAGTAAAAGTTAACTAAACTGCTTTAGGATTTACAGTTTCCTGGATTCGTGGAGGCTCTTTTGGGAGGAGCAGTTTATTGGAGGAAGAAAGACAGTTTTAATCTGGATCGAGGCAGAACAGAGAGGACAGGCTGAGCAATGAAACCGAGTTCATGTGGGCGAGGTCCAGAACCTGTTTGAGGGGTTCTGAGTATAAACTTGGTCACGTTTTGTTGTGTTTCTTCTTCTGCTTCTGGTGGAGGTTTCGCAGTGACCACGATATCAAAGTGTTTCTGCAAATGTCAGTTTTCCACATTGGACTTACATTAAGCTGCCATTTTGAGTTTTATAGTTTTTTGGAGGCTGTTTTGGAAAAAGGGAGAAAGATGCAGTTTTATTGTGGACTGAGGACTGAACGAAGCGAAACAGCTTCGATGCAGCGTGAACGCGGTCTGAAGCGTCTCAGGTTTATAACTCTGGCGGCTGTTTTGGGTAAAGTCAGCTACTGGAGTGACAAAGATGCAGATTTAAAGCAGACTGAGTCATAACGGACAAACATGGACTTTTCAGAGACCCAGACCAGACAGATGAAGCTGGACAGTCTGTAGGTCTGGTGCTTTCTGGCTGTTGTTGTTTTGCAGCGGCGGTGTCGGTTTTTAATCCTCAGGTTGTAAAAGAGCAGAACGGTCCTTAAATAACTGCTGAGCTGATGAATCGTGTTGCTGCAGCAGACGGAGGCTCTTATCTCTGAGAGCAGCAGGAGGCCGGCGAGGCCTGGAGGGGCTGAAGGAGGCGGGAATGAGGCCAAGAGCTGCTGCTGCTGCTGCTGGTACTGTTGGTACTGCTGGTACTGGTACTGGTACTGCTGGTACTGTTACTGGTACTGTTACTGGTACTGTTACTGGTACTGGTACTGTTACTGGTACTGGTACTGCTGGTACTGGTACTGTTACTGCTGGTACTGTTACTGTTACTGGTACTGCTGGTACTGNATCTCTGTATCTAAATTCTACGAATGCAGCGTCTTAAATCTGAATATTTCCTGGTTTCTTTCCTCCTTTATGAGCGTAAACTGAACATCTTTGGACTAAACAAGACACTTTTTAAATGGTTTTCTTCCATTTTAGAGATGTTTGTGTGTTTATTTTCCAGTTTCTGGCTGATGGGAGGTTGTGTTAGTGCCGTCGTGTCGGTTTCTCTGCTCGGATGCCGTTTAGGCGTGAAGCTGAAAATACTCCGGCTCGTGCGGCCGCTCGCTTTTGAAGATGGATGCGGCCGAGACGTGGGAGAGATGCGTCGTCATGGAAACAGCAGAGAAACACCGAGCCGGCTCTCCGACGTTCAGGCTTTAGGGCGATGTATTTCTGGAGCTGTGTTTGCGGAGCTGGAGTCGGTCAGAGGTCAGAGGTCGCGACTCGTCCTCGGTGAACGCGCTCTGCAGTCGTGTAGAAACCAGACAGAACCTCCTGTGTGTGAAGCTCTGGTCTCTGTGAGTCCCGATTCTGGAGGTTCAGGCTTCAAACTAAACATCATTAACCTTCTGTTGTTGCCCTCTGACCAAACAGGGCAGCAGAAACTGGAGCAGAATCATTTATGTTTGAATATGAATCGCTGAGTTTGACTAATTGTATTTCTGCTTCAATAAATAAATTTAAGTTCAGTGTTTATAAGCCACTGATAATAAACCGTCTTTGACTTGGATGCAAACTTGAATAACTGCGATATGAAGCTGGATTTGAATCAGAGCTTTTAAAACGGAAATCCTTCATTGAAGTCACAGATGGTCTCAGTGACTTCAATGAAGGATTCAGATGACAAGTTCTGACTTTAACTGTGAGAACTGAACATGAAAGTAGGCAGAGTTTAATATTCTGGGAGGATCAAACCGTTTTTCAGGCTGAGAAATTTAATAACTTCTATTTAAATGTTGATAAAAATGCCTGAGATTGTAGTTTGCAGTGGCGCAAAATATTCATAAAGTGTCAGAAAATAAGTAAATTGTCCTGCAGATATTAAAAGTGACTTCAAAATAAATCAGTAAAGTTTTAAAAATAAAGACGATACATTTATAATGCATAAGCAAATATTCGTAAAATGTCCGCGAAATAGTAAAATCCTCCAAAATTAATGAATAAATAAATTGTCCCAAAAATGCTTTTAAAAAAATATATATATGTATACTTTATCATTACATAAAATGAACTAATATCAGATTAAAACACCATAAACCTCCTCCTACATATGATCTAATGTTCGACACACAGAGCCTATGTTTGGGTTGTTGTCTTGGGCTACACGGACCATAAACCACACATCTGTATGGACCAGCTCCTCTTCCAGCTGTTCTGGGTCTCACAGCTGATTGGATCCTTCTGCCCGCGGAACCTCGTTCTTCTGGGTCCGGTGAAGCCAGAACAGCTGCTCCTGTGATGCTCCGAGCAGCCGGCGGCGGCGGCCTGTGCTCGTGGCGTCCCTGAACGCCTCACCGTGCTGCTGCCTCTATTCCTGGACTCGTGACTCATCTCCACTCGTGTTACACAATCGAAACTCGGTTCTGCTGCTGCAGCACATCCACAGAACAGGACGCTGCCCGGTTCAGCCTGGATGCTGGTGGTTGATCCTGNTCTGGACCAGACTACTTCCTGTCTCTCTGGACCAGACTACTTCCTGCCTCTCTGGACCAGACTACTTCCTGCCCATCTGGACCAGACTACTTCCTGCCCATCTGGACCAGACTACTTCCTGCCTCTCCTGTGTTTCCTTCCAGACAGGCTCTTCTCACCTCCTCCGTCCTCCCCCCGCTGTCCCGGCTGCTGGACGACTCCTCGGCCTCCTGCAGGACCAGCGTCCTGCGGGTGCTGACCCGTCTGGCTCTGCTGCCTGCGGGCGGCGCCGCTGTCCTGGGCCTGGTTCCTAAACTGATGCTGAAGCTCCAGCAGCAGGACGACGAGGACCACGTGGACGAAGAGGTTCTGCTTCTCTCTGCCGTCGGCCGCTGCTCCCGGCTGGACGCCCGGCCGGCTCTGGCCTCCGACGGAGTCTCCGTGCTCGGCCGCAAGCTGTCCCGACGCTCGCCGGACGTCCGCAGGGAGGCGGCGGCCGCCATGATGGCGCTCAGGTGGAACACCGAGATCCCAGCGCCGCTGTTTGGTTGTTTGTTGTTCTGAACACTGTTTGTTTGTTTTGGTTTCAGTGTGATTCAGCTGGTTTCTCTGTTTGTTTGTCTGTTTGTTTGTTTGTCTGTCTCAGTGTACCTGTGGACGGGAAGCGGCAGGTGTGTGAGGGGGCGGGGCTTCCAGTCCTCGTGGGTCTGCTGCAGGATGATGACGTGGAGGTCCAGACCAACGCTGCAGGAGTCATCATGAACACGGTCATCATCACCACAGGTACAGAACCGAAGCAGTCAAAACTCAGACACTCAGAACCTAGATGTTCAGAACCCAGACATTCAGAACCTCCACGCTGATGTAAATCAGATTCAGCTGCTGTGGCAGGAACCAGAGACTCAGACCATCTGGATCCACTCAGTCTGTTCTGAATGTGTCCTGCAGGGAAGCTCCAGTGTCTGGAGCTGGACGTGGTGCCGGTTCTTCTGGACCTGCTGTCCAGACAGCCGGAGGAAGACGTGAGGACGAAGGCCCTCCTCGTGTACTCGCTGCGAGCCCTGACGGCGCTGGCCGAGGCTCCGGACGGCCGCCGCCTGCTGCTGCAGCAGCTCCCCCTGCTGGCGAGGAGGGCCGAGGCCCGGGACCCGGACGTCCGGCGGGCCGCTCAGACCGCCGTCAGGGTGGTGACCTGGACCCCCTGAACAGCGTCCGACCCAGACCGTAGACATCTGATGAGCTGTTTGTGAACGAGACAGAAACTGACGTGAAAGTGTTTCCTGGATTCACCTGATGTCTGAATTTTAAAGTTAAAAACAAAAAGGCTCCAGTCTCGGTTCTGGTTCTTCTTCCAGCAGCCGGCTGAGCGATGATGTCATGATCTGTGGTTTCTGTCAGCCGGAGGTGTGAGTAAAACAAACTGTCACGTTAAAGCAGAACACAGCCGCTGCTCTGACAGAACCATCGAACATGACAAGACCAGCGACGGCGAGCGACAACACACCATCACTGCAACGAAATGTACCGACACAGCAGCTGACAGCACAGAGACAAACAACCGCAGAAATACACAAAACCAGAGCGAAACGTTTAACCGACATCATCCAGAGCGTTTGTTCCTTCATAAACACGTCAGCATGGTTTTTCTGTAAATACCTACAAACTAGACCAGCTCTGTTTCCTCTCCGTGTTCACTGATCTTTAAGTAAACACATAAATGTTCTTCTGTCTGAGTCGTGGTTAACGTCCTGTGAAGCTGCTCTGGACCCCGGCAGGGCAGCGGACCACAGGTTGAGCCCCTTCTGACCTGAATGTGTCCATTAAAGGCTCCCGTCTGACCTGCTGCTCTGAATGAAGCTGAACTCCAATTAAGGCCGCGGCGCTCACAGAGAAGCTG